TTTAAACTTCATGACAGCTAGCACAACATTTGGAATTATTCTTCTCCCCTTTTTTTTATTTGTGTTTTGTACTGAACTTCCTTTATAATTTCTTTTTTGCCAAAAAATTTCCTCAACAATCAAGGGGTAACTTAGCAGACAGATGTTGGTTGAAAGGAAATTAAAATAAAAAGTTACTAAAATACCCTAAGCTGTTTATAGAAATTAACAGTTATATATTTTTTTTTTCTTAATATTTTATCAGTTTACTAGACTGATGAGCTAAATCACATAGAGCGGGAGCAGGAATGCTAGAGTGGCATATTCCAAAAAAATTTAGAGCGGGAGCGCCACTAGAGCGCCGCATTATAAATATATAAAATATTAATTTATAATAGTAAATATATGTTTTAAATTCAATTCATGCAAATAAAAAGACAAAATAGTGAATCAAATATGGGTCCATTACAACCAATATAATGCTTTATAAAAATGCATAAATTAACAAACATGACAATCAAACAAGTTACTTTATAAAAATAAAAACATAATAGTGAATAGGGCTTAATAGAAAAAGTAATGTTCAAAAACATTGTCTTCTATACATTTAACCTACTTTAAACTCTAATCATTGTCTTTGAAATAGCAATGTTCAAAAGTATATGAAAAGTATATGAGATAGCATAGAGAATATGAAATGATGGAATGAGAATAAGACTAAAAGAGTAAATCAAGAGTCAATTACTAGTGAAAAAAGTTTAAGAATCACGAACCGAACACTTAATAGCAGAGAGAAAATTGAAAAATCACAATCAGAATATGAAAAGTTATTCATTTATTTATTTCTTTATTAATAAATAAGTATTATTAAATATTAAGTATATTGTTACATTATTTGATTTTTACCTATAAAGGACATAATTTACTTAATTAAATTAAATTAAATTGATTACTTTTTGACATAATTAACCTTTTTTGGTCTATTTAAGTTGGGGTAAAATCAAAATTTATCAAGATTCACACTAAATTCGTGAATTTATTGTCAAAATTCGTCGAATTCTTGAACAAAATACACGATTTTATTTTACACAATTCGTCGAATAGAACTTTTAAAACCAGCGAATTCAAAATTATGAATTCGCGAATTCATAAACATGAGAGCGTGAATTTTTGCCGAATTCGCTCTTAAAATGCTAATTCGCGCACAAAGCGATAGAGCATCAGTGGTTTGAGCGAATTATGTAACTTAGCTGTTGAGAAGATAAAAATAAAAATAAAATGGTTTGAAAGCAGTCTTTTATTCAATTAAAAACAAATTATGTTTTATTTGTAAAAACATGAGTTAAATAGTTTCAAAATAATGTCAGCACGCTAGTTAAGTTCACGTTAGTCACAAGGACGAAGGTAGTTAAGGAACATGGGGCCACGTGCCTCCCTGGATTTTCTTCTTCTCTTATATTCTATATATATTTTATAATACTATATATATATATATTTTAATGAAAATATGGAAAGTGCCTCCTAAATTTTCTCATTCTTCATAGAATTCTATATATGTTTCATTTTTTTTTTCTCCTAAATTGTTTCCTTAATCTTTATATTCTATATCTTTAAATTAATTTCATTCTAAAAATATCATTATCTCTTTCTATATATATATATATATATACACACACTAATAAATATTAACTTATATGCATATACATTATATTGTAAATAAATACTATGGTATACAATACTATAATATGCCCCCAGTTAGTCACATGGAATGAATAGATTCTTTACGGAAAAAAAACTATTTAAAAAAAAAAAACATATAAGAATAAAATAAAAATAAAAAAGAAAACATTTAGGCATTATTTATATATTAAAAAGTTTAATATCCAAATAGTTTCCTTTCAGCTAAAGTTCATCAGTTAAGTTAGCCCCATTGGATGATTGAAGGTTTTTTTTTTTTTTTTTTTTTTAAAAAAAATATTTAGCGCAAAACACAAATTGAAAATGAGGATTTAATGCACTGCACCCTATTACTTAATTAAGGAGTGACATATGTCAATGATATATCACATCCAATAGTCCCTCAGGGTAAGGTTTCTTATTTAAACAATGAATTGAAAATTTTGATTAATTTGACTTTTATGTATCTCAAATTCAAAAAAATCTATTTCAACACTATAGTCAACTAAAAAAAACTCATGCATGTTGTCATGAAGGGTTCTAAAAGAAGCGTACTTCATTTATTAATACAGTTGCCTCAATCACAACAACTCCCTACTCCCTGCATAATTGAAGAATTAAGAAGCATAATTCCCTTCTAGATGCCCACTAGATTTGAAAATGTGATTAAGGTAGGGCCCATTCACTGTTGCTATTTATTTCCTTGAATTTGTCGACCAAATCCATGTGACTCTCGCCAGCTTTCATTATCAAATTCATGCCTGTAGTCCCCATCGTCTGCGTTCTGTGTCAGCTTTCACAACCAATGACACAACACTGCTTCCTTCCAACCCCCTTCTGTCTCTGTCTCTCTCTCTGTATATATATGTGTGGGTGTGTGTATTAATCTTTTTCTTTCTATTGTCGGGCCTATCAGATGGTGTGGTCAACCATAACCCAACATCAGTCCAAATCCACATTGGTAGCTTCTAAACTAGAATAACTTTGAGCAAATTAATTAAATGCGGGTGTGGATAGATTTTATATTCATTTCATACTTGGGGTGTGAAATCTACTCCTAGATTTGAGATGGTAATCATATATTCAAATTTTAAATAAGTTTGTTTTTTCTTTTATTATTATCATTATTATTATTATTATTATTTATTATTATTATTTATAATTGTAATTTCATTATATATACTAGACTCAAAATTAGTTAGATTTTAAACCTACTTAGTTTGTAGAAACAATTCTCAAGAATTTTTTTTGTAATTGAGCATGAACTAAATTTTTGTACAATTTTTAATTAGTTAGCTCTAGCTTGTGGCATGTCTATCCCATTCTCCTCTACAAATGAATCCGATAATTAACACTTCTCTCCCGTGAAATTATAAAATGGTTCACTTTGTGGTGTTCTCCCTAGCACAGTAAAATCAGAAATATTATATATATATATATATATATATATATATATATATATATATTCCTAATTGGTATTCTCATACACATTAGTCTCTTTTGAGACTTGAACCCCTAACATTCCTTTAGAAAGTAAGAAACTGATACGGTTAGACCACTGACTTATTGGTAAGATCAAATCACGAATATTTGCTTGGCCTAATAGTAACCCTCAATCAATGAGAGCTTTTTGAAAAATAAAAAAGTGTTATGAGAAAACTAAATTAAGCAGACCTATTTTTTTAATCAATTCTACACTTCACGCTCAATTTTTATTTTATTTTATTTTTTTATGAAAAATTTAAAAATAATGTTACCCTTTGGCAAAAGAAATTTCAAAATTCAAGTTATTTACAGTTTTCAAAAAATAAAAACTGCGATAAGAAAATTAAATCTAGCATAATCATTTTTTTTAATTATTTCAACACTTTCAATTTGCATTTTTATGTGAAAAATTAAAAAATAATGTTAACCCTTGGCAAAAGAAAAATCATCAGTTGGACCTATCACATGGTATGGTCAACCATAACCTAACATCAGTCCAAATCCACATTGGTAGCTTCTAAACTAGAATAAGTTTTAGCAAATTAATTAAATGATTCTTTGCAGGGTGTGGTTAGATTTTATATTCATTTCATACTTAGGGTGTGAAATTCTACCCCTAGATTTGAGATGACAATCGTATATTCATATTTTAAATAAGTTTTCTTTTTTATGTATCATTATTATTATTATTATTATTATTTATTTTACTAAACTCAAAATTATTTAGACCTATTTAGTTTGTGGAAACAATTCTGAAGAACTTAAAAAATCAAAGAGTATCTTTAGATAACAATACAAAATGGTCTTTGAAAATAAACGGACAATTATTTATTTATTTTTTTAATTGAGCATGCCACCAAGTTTTTGCACAGTTTTTAAAGTTTCAATTAGTTAGCTCTAGATTGTGACATGTCTATCCCATCCGCCTCTGTCAACAAAACCGGTAGATAACGCTTCTCTCCCGCGAAACTAAAAAATGCCTAATTTTGTGGTGTTCTCCGTCAGAAATATTTGCTTTGCCGAATAGTAGCCCTCAATCAAGGAGAGCTTTTCGAAAAATAACAAAGGATTATTAGAAAATTAAATTAAATAGACCTATTTTTTAATCAATTCTACACTTCAAGTTCAATCAAGCATACGTATTTGTTAATTATTTCTACACTTTCAATTTGCAATTTTATGTGAAAAATTAAAAAATAATGTTAACCATTGGCAAAAGAAAATTTAAAATTCAAGTTATTTTATGCTATCAGTTGGAATCTCTAGTACCCAAGTATAACGGGTGGGCGCTTACCCATTTATCTAAAAGTTCAAACTATTGGGTAATGCTGCATACACACCCACTTATACTCAATCACTTCTCTATCTGGATTTGATATAGGATAAATGACCCTTGTTACATTTTTTCTCACCCAAACTCGTAACGCTCTCGTTACTGCTCGGGTCACCATGCCTACCCGGGCTGGCTCACCTGGACGTCTTCCCGGTCGGGCGCTAAACATGATACCGAATCAAGGACTGAGTTTATCTCTGATACCGGCCAACTGTAATTTGTAAGCGTTTGCTTATTTACTCAAAAACTTACACTATTGAATAGTACTGCATATCTACTCATTTATACCGAATCACTTTTCTATCTGAATCCAATGTAAGACAAATAAACACGTAGTGTAGTGCAGTACAATAGTATGAATCCAAAATCAAAAATAACAACAACAGTCTTGGTTACCACCACCACCGATAACAAGTCTCTTCTACAAGTACTCATTTAACACTTGAGTATGCAATAATGAAATAAATTTCTACTCATAGGTGATGTGACTATAATAAAGTGATCTTCAATCATATTAAACACGAAATTAAAACAAAGTTTCACTGAAAATTAATGTCTCATAAAAACATCATATAAGATGTACATTACATCAAAATTAAAAGCCAACTCAAACTAAGATTGGCATTTTAACTCTTTTAAACATTACAAAACCTTTAGACTAATCACAGAAAAACACAAGTGCCTTAGTACTTGGCAGCAAACTGGTTAATCAAAGCTAGTGCATTACTAGTGACCTGTGCAACATTAGTGACACGTGCCCTAATCGAGGTCTTAATCCTACCATCCATGGCCCGACCCGCGAACCCGTCCATGCAAGTGTTCCCATCAGTTATAGCAGCACTGACCCAAGTATCCACATTGCTCAAGTGCCACAAGAAGTCCGGACCCCGGGCTTTACCCACCCGTTTGAGCTCCAGAACCGATTTGCTAAGCCGGTCAACGGTGTCACCCATCTCCTCCAAACAGTCCTTGATTGCTTCATACTCTCTGGCCTTCAATCCCTTAAATTTTGTTAGCTTTGTCACAAATGACTTGGTGGACTGAGCCCGGGCTAGGCTCACGGACAATGCCGTCTGGGCCAATTGGCGCGGGCTTTTCTGGATGGTGGTGGCGAAGACCGAGAGAGACTGGACGCACACGGCCGGATAGGCGGTGGCACTGCAAGAGGCCTTGATGAAGTTCGCCGAGGCGGCGGTGCCGGAAATGTACAGGAGGCAGAGGATCAGTGGCAGCAATGACAGGGTGGTTTTTGCCATTGAATTTTGGATAAGAGTATAGAGTGGGGGGTGTGATTCTTTTATAGAGGGCGTGAGGGGCTTATCACGTGCTTTTTCGGGTCGCACTTGAAGTGGGTTTTAGTGCGAAGAGCGTGTCGATGGGTTTGGCGAATATGCAATTGTGAGAAATGCACCAATAGGCATAACTCTAAGGATAGGTTTGGCATGAATTTTTATGTATGTATATGTTACGATATTTGTGGGTTTCACACTATATTTGTGCGAATCTTTGAGGTTTTGCTACCGACATCTGTGAGTCAGATGGACCGTAATAACTTTTATAGGTGAACTTTGAGCACCTTTATTTCCAGATGACTCATTTCGTGGGACCCACTTGGACCAGAATAACTTTTATAGGTGAACTTTGAGCACCTTTATTTCCAGATGACTCATTTCGTGGGACCACTTAAAGTAAAACAATTAACAATTTAATATTGTAGAATTATTTTTACATAGATTATTTGGTCAATTTAATACTCCTTCGTCCACAAAAATGTTCCATTCATTTTGACGATATTATTAATGCATTACGTAGTATATTTTAAAACTTATCCTTTTCTTGAAGTAATAAAAATATGGGTAATTTATACTCACATCCCATATTTTTAATAAAGAAGGTAAATATAAATTAAAAAGAGTATGATTCAATTACTCTATCAAGTTTGTAAACTTGAACAACAATCATAATAAGATTACCTAATTACTCTTTAATTTTTGAATGGACCCATTTAAATTATTAAAGTACAATATTGACTTTTATAGATTTTTTAATTTGACCAAAATGACCCTTAACAAAAAAAAAAAAAAAAAAAGATCAGACTCCACCACTGTGGCTACCAATGCCATATGCATACAGACAGGGGTGGACCAGGAATTTTTAATTGGTCAGGCCAAACTAGAAATATAAAATTAAAATTTTAAAATAAAATAAAATCATTGTAAGAATTTTTCTTTTTTGCAAGTTTAATGTATATTGTTAAAATGTGTCTATAAATAATATGCAATAAAATTGAAGGGAAAAGTTGTCGATTGAATCATTATTGTTGTCAAGTGAATAAATTTTTTTTTTTCTTTTTTCTAATTCATAACAAATAATATGTATATATATGTGTGGAAATATAGTATGCTTTTATAAGGATTACCATAATAATTAATAATTTTTTTAACTAAATTTGATCTTTTATAACAAGAGGTTTGTTGGAATTTGAAGGGTTACAAGTAATTTCATTATTAAACTATATTTAATATCAGGGAACTATATAGTTTTTTTAAAATAGAAAGACCAACTTTAATTTTTATATAGAAAACAACTATTAGTATCTATGATTTAGTACCATAACTAAAGTATTACAAAAAATTTGAGGGGGCTAACTTTAATTTTTATGTAAAACATTACCATAAATAATTTTAATTTAATACTACAATAAGGTTTTGCTTTGGAAGTTAAAGCAATTAACACACACCCTACCTCCACTGAGGTTGGAACCCCGACCTCCACTTTTAGGGAAGAAAGGGTGATATCGCTGGGTCATTTGATCCTTTGGTGTTTTGCAAAAAATTTGCAAGGGCCATGGTGGAGTTTTTTTTATTTTTATTTTTTATTTTTAAGGGCCATTTTGGTCTAATCAAATAACTTATAAAAGGTTAATATTGTACTTTCATGATTTAAATGGGTCTATTCATAAGTGTAAATTGCTTGATGGCTTTATTGGAGATTTAGGCCTTTATTTATATGAAACAAGGTGGTAGAATTATGGTAGGACTCGCATTGCTTGTCCTCCAAATCATTCCTTATACATCATTCTTTACAGTTAGAGTTCTTTCCTTATTACAATTCTTTCTATGCAAAACTTTCCTTGCACAGAACTTGCCTTCTTTGTTGTAATACCCCCTAATTTCGGAACACGGGTTGATCAAGTCCGCGCACAAAATCAGGGGATATCAAACCAATTAAAGTATTTAAACAAGCACGGATTACAAAATGAAATAAAGAATAAAATAAAACGCTGAAGAAATCCAATTAATAGTAAATCCATTAATAACTTCCAAATGGTTACAACTCGGGAATCCCGTAACTCAAGGACCCCTTAACCAAAAGTTACTATTTAGAATTTCAACCAAATAAGTACTAATATCAACTGAAACAAAACTAATATCCTACTTTTAAGTAAATAGAAGGAATGGATAAGTCCTCCAGCTGCGGATCCTCAATCTTGAGACTTGACCTTCTACAACCTGAAAAATAAATCGCGGGTTAAACCCTACGAGCAAGTTCTCTCTACCAAGCCTTTGAAAACCAATAAACAGATCATCTTTACCAAAACCATCCCTAATTAAGCTTTAACTTTAATATACGATGCTACAAATATATATAAATTCTTATATATATAGTGCAAGAATCCTACCAGTTAATAGGGCATTAAATTGTCAAAACCACTCACCAATAATTAATTATTAGTCATACCTAGACCAAGCCCCCCCTTTTATAATTTTCTCATAAAGTAAACCACACTCACCTTAACTCCATCCTAAACAGTAATTTAGTCATCTACACATATAGCAATTTAAATATGCACCGGCAAATCAACCATACCATTTATAAATATATTTATTTATATACTAGCAATTCAACCATGCTTCCTTCAATATATTTACTTTTACAATTAATTAGCAATTCAACCATGCTTCCCATATATGAAATTTATTCATAACCAATAAGGCAGTATATCAAAGCCTTTGGCAACTCATCCATGCCTACAATTCAACCATGTATTAACTTTAAACTTAACTCTAGGTATAATTATACATAGACTTCACATGCATATAATAAGCATGTCCTTAATTTAATAACCGTGTATCTATTACGATTTTAAATCAACCATACCATACACGAATCAAGTCATACCAAACAAGATTTATAATATTTAATAATCTTAAATAATATATATATACACATATATTTTATAATATATATATATGTGTGTATCATACATTCCATACCAATCGTTGACTATTTAAAATCATATCTACATATATGTACACATATATACACCTCCTTTCATTGCAAAAATATTTAATTAATTATATTTATACCACTAAATGCTACTAGGTATCTTAGTAACACTCTGAGGCTCTCAAAATATCAAGAACACACCCTCTAATGATTAATTTTAACCCTAACAAGCTTAAGATAAATACTAGAACTTCACCGGAGTCTCAAGCAACTTTCCAGGACCTCACACGCATCCCCACGCGCCTTCACGCGCCGCCACATACCCCTAGACTACTCCCACGCGCCTCCACGCGCTTCCCCTTACCGGCAGGCGCGTCCACGCGCCTGCACGCGCCCTCACGCGCCTGAGCCACTCTCGGCGCGTGTTGGCAGCTCCTAATTGGTTGTTGTTTGGTGCTCTTGGTAAGCCGCGATGCACTGGATCCTCTCCCTTAATCAACTACATCTAACCATTGACGCCGCATGTGTATCAACTTACAATGGACCGCATCACACCAGATCAATCCAACTAAATTAAATTAATCCTATGGCCTAGATCAACGAGTGCACCCTTTTCCTACGTACGCGACCACACTGGATAAAAATCCTATTGATGCGCAAATACTAGCCGCCTTCAGTGTGTTTGTTAAACAATTTAATATATATATATATATATATATATATATATATATATATATATATAACAATTTCTAAATTAACATTAAAAATATAAATTAATTTCAGAAATTGTTCAGAAATCTCAGAAAAATCCCAAAAGCTCTATTTATTATTTTGGGCATAAATGAACATATACAATTAAATTAAAATCCATTTAATTTAATTAATCGTGCTACACAAGGTTAACGCAAAATATAAAAATTTTAGCAAAAATAAAATTTAATTAACCTAACCTCACATACAAGATCTAAATTATCAGAACAATGCATACATATATTCACATGTTTAATTCTATAATTTTGTAAAGAATAAATATGCTCCTCCAATCTGAATAATAATTTAATTTAATAAAATAAAATTATAATTTCGATAATCAAGGTGATAAGTTTATGAGTTCTAAGAGGAGAAGTAGAGAGGAACTCGCCTTTTCTTTTCCAAATCCGGTCTCCTCTTACGTTCTTTGATCCGGCCTCATCTTCGTTAGCCATTCTTCTTCTCTCTCTAATTCTCTTATTTTTCTAACGTGGAAAAACTCCTAACCCTAAAGTCTTATGTGTCTATTTATATACATACAAAAACTAAATCCTTTTCCCATTAGGATTATCATATAAAATAAATAATATTTATCTTTTAAATAATATATATACATACATATATTTTACTATAAACATATATATATTACCTTCCATATATAACCATTAGTTAAATAAATTATATATACCTATATATATCAATATATAATTATATTGACATATATACCCCTCCACATGATTTAATAATGAATTAATATACACATGTAATTATATAGGTATAATTATGCAAAGATAATTATTAAATATCCTCACAACCACGGGCTTTTACCAATTAACCCAACAAGGCTTCCTTCAAGCCCAATACCACATCCGTTGGTCCAACTTCCTTTAATCCCAACCCAAATAACTTAAATACCTAAAATAATGAAATTAAATAAAGTTACACCAACATAAAATCACGCAAATCAAATAAACAATTCACTGACTAGCATTCCACAAATCAAACACCGTATAAATTTAACAAATAAAATTACAAAATATATAATTTAATTAAAACAATACAATTTACCTACGCACTTAATTAAATAAAACAAATCACAACTATCAAGCACCTAATTAAATAAAACAAATCACTTAAAAATAATAATAATACTAATATAATATAAATTAATTTAATTAATAAATCCTTTTTACAATATCGGGGTATTACATTTGTTGAATCATTTGTCTAGCTGGATTGATCCATCTTTAATGAAACTGGGCTGAATGCAGCTTGGTCCAGACGACTCGACCAACGACCCGGAAGTTCAA